TTTTTTTCAAATAAATTTTTATGAGGTAGGAAAACATTTCCACTCAAGAGGACAGGCCTCACTTGCACAAGGTATTGTCCTATTTTCGTAAGAAAAAATCGTATCTGAGAGGAGCTAGAAACGTCTTTCCCGATTGCCAGTTCACGCAAATTAAAGGGCTACAGGAATATATACAACCTTCTATAACGCCAATATAATTTATATATAACTCAGGCAGACTGGTCTAGAAAAATCTGTTAAATTTATTTTATTTGGGATTGTATTTTGTTAACTATTGGCAGCAACCGTTATCTTTAAAGTCCGACAACGCATGAAATGCAGTATTTAGGAGCAATGGTTTCACTTGTTTGGAAGTATGAAACAGTCGTGTTTTTATCAATTTTGGGGAACTGAATTGGAGTGTAAAGTGAGCAAGGAAGGGGTAGTGGGGAAAAGAAAGGAAGGGGGGGCATTGTAGGAACCGGAGGAGAGATTGGAAAAAAGAGTGAGGGGAAAGAAGTACGCACGCAGCCACGTGGCTCGTGTGACGTGACGCGTGGCTGCGTGCGTTGCATTACGGGATTTGTTGGTGCCACCGACGCTGACGACGAATTTCAGCCGGTCGATAGGGTCATAATCCTATCGACCCGCTAAATTTGACGGGAAAATTTCACGCTAGATTTAGCGGAAAATTTTTCTTTCCAATTTAGGGGAAAACTTCCCCGCCAAATTTAGCGGAACATTTTCCCGCCATATTTATCAGACAATGTTCCCTCTAAATTTAGTGGAAAATTTTCTCGAAATATTTTGTGGAAACGTTTCCCGCGATATTTCGCTGGAAATCTCTAACAAAAACACGTAACGCTAGCGACTAGACAACGCACACGCGCTTGCACAGCTTGGGAACGACAGCGAGTTTTAGAGGAAGGTTTCGTAGACCGCTTTTTCCCGAAGAAGCCGCTACAGCGCCTGCGTGGCGATGGCCGACTGTACAGTTCCGGGTACGGTAGTGGGTTGCGGAGAGCGCTACGGGACAGCGGAAACGACCTACGATAACTCCCTAATAGGGAGTTTTCGTAGATCGTTTTCGCCGTCCCGCAAGGCCCTCCGCAACCCGCTACGATAGCGGGAACTCCACAGTCAAGGCTATCGGCGCGCAGGCGCAGTAGCAACTTCTTCGTTGCGGAACGCTTAGCGGAAAGGGCAGCGCGGTCTACGAAAACTCCCTAACGAGAAGGCTTTGCGAACGGGGCCCGCTAACGCTATCGCGTTGCACTCTTAAAGGGGCCCTGCAAGGACTTTTTCACTGGTTTTTATTTGCACCGATCCTGAGCGCACTGAGCGTAGTAACTTATTGAAACTTTTCTTTTGTCGAAATTCGCTTTATTTTAAAAGTTATAGGCAAATTAAGATTACAAAACAAGCAAAAAATAATTTCCCTCATGACGTCCTTGGTTGCTTGACTGGCCGTGAACTAGAGGAGGGGTAGTGGGCGCATCGCGAGTGCTCACGGCTGCCGTACTCCGTACCGACGGCGCGAGAGGGCGCCACTACAGCATGTTCTGGATAGGCTGTATGCAGCGGGCGGCCAGAGCGGCTCTCATTGCATTTGCTGCTCGATTAAACAGTAATTCGGCATGCCACTTCATTGGCCACAAACGACAAGAAACACGGGGTAAATATCGGTTCAGAATGGGAGCCACTTCGCGCTGCCATACCGCGAAACGGCCAAACCGCCAGACAAAACTTCTCGCCGAAGGCCTTCGGAACGCTCGGAGCCGGTGGGTCCTTTTGTCCATACGACCGCAGTGCCGCCGTGTACATCCGAGACCTATCCGTGTCGGCGCCTGATCCCACTACTCCTTTCTAGTATGCGCCGCCTTTTCCACCGCTTAGTGGCGGGCATGCCGACGGGTCATTTCTCGTTTCCGTACTTTATAAACTTTATTAGTTTCTTTTCTTATCTAAAATACTGAACAAAAACTACTTTTTTGCAAAATTGAAACGGTTCGCGTCACTTATATTTTGTATTTTGACTAAAAAGAAGCTTTTAGCGACTCTGGCCAGTTGTAGGCCCAGGACCAAAGACGTCACATTTTGCGCTCTTTCGGTACCAGGGGTCGCCCCCGTCGGTGGAGGAGGTTTCCCCGTCGTCCGATTAAAATATGACGCACTGATATTTAGTTACTTTCTCTGTGCCCGCTGGCTTGCCCGAACTTCAAGAGATGTGGAAACCGCAAAAAAGGTTGCAGGGCCCCTTTAAAGGGGAAGCATAAACGGGCACTGAAGTCGATTCTGAGATCGTTCATTCTGGTGACAACTCAATCTATACCCCGTTCCACCTTACGTCCGAGCGCAGTGGATGCTACGAGCGATCGGAGCCAATCCAAGGCCGTGCGAATGTCACGTGACCTTGGAGAGGGGGCACAGCGACGCGTGGAAAGCGCATCACGGGCTACGTACACAGAGAGGGATTGGATGGGAGAGCCCGCAGGTGGTCGTCTGCGCCTGAACGTAAGGTGAAACGGTGTATAGACGCTCTAAGCATCCCAACCAGCCCGAAATCAGAATCGTGCGTAAATTATTTCCTCGTTAAATGCGTGTTCAAAGATCGCGACAAGCCCTTTTTGGGAAGAGCTTTCTTCCGAGTGAAGTGGTGGACGAAGGGCGCTTGTCGGCGAGTTGCAAGCGAGGGCTTCGCCCGCGGAGAAAAAGAGGAGTTTTATCCGAATGTGTCGCTGTCAAACTCTCTTCGAAACGAGTTAAAATAAAATCATTCCGAATCTGCGCCTATTGTAGGGCTTTAATTGGTCTACACACTGTAGTCCGCGAGAAAAAATAGTCCTCATGCTTTTCTCTTGCCCCGAGATGAGTAGGCGGTTTTGTAACTTAGGACTGTGCAAATGTGTGAACTAACACAATTTAAACAATATAAGATCAAAAACGACCTTTTCCAAAATTGACTTCAGTGCCCCATTTTAATGTCTCCCAAGTATTTTTTTTATTATTATTATTATTTTTATGTAAGTTAAAAAAACTATTTCAGTTTATTTTTCTAGATCAGTCTGCGAGTGCTATATATAAAAATAATGACGATGAAGAATGTTGTATTTGTCATACCTGAGGCCCTCGAAGTTGCGTCAATGCGCTTTTGAGAAAATCCCTTTTCGCCTTCTCTAACACGCAATCTTTTTTTTTTCTTTTTTTTTTATGATGTTAATACAATATTCTACGAAGTTATGACCCGTCCCGTTCTGTGGACATGTTTTGCAATTTCATACAAAAGATTATTTGAAAACAGAAAATAGATCGGACACTCTGATGGCACTCCCCGAACACGACCTCGGACTGTCAACCAATACCCAAGATTGTGATACACGTCAGTGGGGATGGACTGGATAAAGAAAAGCGTCCACACCTCAAGTCAGGTAAATTAAGCTTATAGGGAGTCGACTCACAGCATTAAACTGTAGTATACAAGCTAAATGTTTTATTGATCTTTTTTTTTTTCAATTTGGACAGAATTATTTTTAAAGAGCAGTGCGAGGTATACCTATGCGGCTTGTGTATGTGACTTATACGGGCAGGGGGACACAATACAGGGTGCTGATCTTCGCAATAAGTCGAATAATTAACAAAGATTTTTAATCACCTTGATAATTAGCGAGAATAATCATATGGTCTCAATTCAAACTCACTGCGAGTCATCTCAAACCACTAAATCGGTCCAATTTTTACTTTTTTTAAAGATTTGACGTTTGCGGTAAGCACGGGGCCGCTAAAGTTTCCAGTCGTGCAACAGACACAACGCTGGCGTTTCTTTCTTTCTTTCTTTATTAAATGACAAAAAAAAAAAAAGGAATTGGAGATGTTGGCTGCCGTGGAGGCTGGCGTTTCGAAAAGGCGGTTGATATTCTTTTCATGCGCGTTTCCGTACTGCAAGACCGCTTTAATCTACTCTTCACATATTTCTTTTTTTTCTTCTCTTAAACAAATAGGTTCGAAATAAAATTAAACACCTTGTATAAAATAGCTCTTCAGCAATACAACGGATCACCTCAGATATTATTTCCTTCAAATGCGAAAAATAAAAGCTGGTATTATATCAAGAACATTTTAATTTCTAAATTTTGATTTGCCAGATAGTACTGGGCCCTTTTTTTTTTAAATAAAAACTGAATAGCTGAAATTGGTGCACCTGCTCCAGATTTTTGCGACTTGAGCAATTTCACAGAAAAGCGTTGGGCGGCGGCAACTGACTTTTTTCGCCTCAGGTAGTTCAAAGTAACTGTTAGAAAAAGAATGAAGATGTATCAATGTCCACTTCACGAAAGCATTTTTTTAATTGAGGTAAAAATAGGGCGATTGTTTTTTTTTATCAAATAGAGAGCCAGTATTATAAGACTGCCCAACAGCTCGCTCGGGGTCACATGGTTTGCAAACCGCGTTTGCAATACGAGCTGCGAGCAGGTGAAGGGAGCGTCGATCGTCTGCAAACGACGTCCAGACCTTTACGCTTATTTTTCTGTTGGCCACGTCACAACGCCGCGCATCCGCACTTGCGATGTAGCAAATAGAAAAAGAACGAAAAACGATAGCTCCCGATTACCTGCTGCTAACTGTACGCGTATGGCCCCAGGGCAGTGAACACGCGGCGCCTCAGTCGGTCGCGAGTGAGCACAGCTGGTGGCCAAAAGCGGCAACTTTGGGCGGGACATGCCACAAAAAACGATTGGACACGACTGCTGCGTCAGAGTTCGAGCGAGCACTCCGACGTTCGAGCTCGAGGTCGTGTCTAATGACTGCGGCCGCGGGCCGTCTCAGAGTCGCGCGAATTCCACAGAAAGTGGTGCCACGTATCAAAAGGCAAGACTAAAGGCCAACTCAAAAAACGTGGTTTTCGTGCGTCGTTCCTATGGTGTCGGCGTACTAAAAAATGATGGCGGTCGACCAACTTCCAATGGCGATGTATTGGATCGCAAAAATGGTTGTCGTCTATCCCGTGCTCCGGATTCGCTCACCGTTCTTATTTTCTTCGAGCCCAATCCAGAGATTTGACGGGGACTGTCGAATGTAGGGCAGAAGTCTGTCCAGCTGATCCTGCGAGTGAAAGCTTACCAGGGTAGAATCTGCAAAGAGCCCCAATTGCGGGTATGAAACTCCAAGCACACTTTGCCCATCGCGTACGCTCATCTATAGTCACTGGTGAGAAGGCCAGGGAAGAGCTTCAGTTGCCCCGACTCCAAGCACGCACTTCCTACTCGCTCAGAAATCGGGGGTGTAGTACTTACACCCCTGGTCCCCCCATATATAGCACCCCAAAAACTACAATTCGATGTTCAGCCAACTGACGTCGAACCGACGATACCAACTCTCACGAACGGCTTGATTTCCGACTGATACAGGTCATTACAATAGCTAATGCACTGACTAAAGACTACAGGAAAACACTCAAGGTTTCGCTAGCCCTGCCGCACAAGCTCGGTGTTTTCATGTAATATTTGATACGCACGTTAGCTATTTACTAAGTTATGTCACACAGCTAAAAAACCGCTCGTAAAAGTTGGTATCGTGAATTCAACGTCAGTGAACTGAACGTCGAAATGTATAGTTTCGGGGTGTTATATATAGGACAAGAGGTGTAAATACTAGGCCCTTAATTTCTGAGAGCGCACCTTCGGCAACACTTCGGCGTCTCGTGCTCCACGCGCCCGCAGCCAAAGCACGGCGGAAGGCGTGGAGCACGTGCTGGAGGCGTCCGAAAGTCACGCCCTGCCGTTCTCATTCTGCCAGCGACCAAAGTGTGCCTTGTCAGCTCTTGCCTCCCTCTTCTCGTCCCAACCCAGCCGTCTACTGAAAACTCTCAGCAATCTCTCTACTTTCCCGCCAAATACTCGGGAGAGCATATCGCTGCACATGGGTGTACCAACCCGGGGAAGGGGAGGGGGATGCAAGGGGGGCGTTTGGGCCCTCCCCCCAGTTCTCAAAGTGTGTCTGTGTGTGTGTATGTGCGTGTGTATGTGTGTGCGTGGGGGGGGTGGGGCAGGCAAGGCATGTGTTTTGCGCTCTGAAACAGCCGCCACTAGGCAGGGCAGACACTGGCCGGCATCACCCAAGGGATGCCAAGGGCACCGCCCCCCGGCACTGAGGGGGGGGGGGGGGGGGGGGACGGTCTGGTTCCCCCCCCCCCCTCCGCTCCACACTCAGAAACAGGTTGGTACGCCACTGTCGCTGTAGTCTACGGAAGAAAGTCGGCCAAGAACGTGGCTAAAAATGTTTCTAGATCTTAAGAAACAAAACAAAATACAGTTCTTATTGTAACCCTGTGTATGAAGTTTTACGCGATAATATCGTGGTCAATAGCGCAACGCGAACCGTTTTTTTTTTTTTTTTTGGTTATGTATATATTTTTTGCCTCGGCATTCACCGAGTTCCCTCCGTAGATGGCAGCTTTCCTCTGCAGAACCTCCCAGAAAAATAGACACATCAGATTTCTTAGAGTTGAAATAGGTCGTTCTGTTCGTAGGTTCTCTATAGTATAAATCTGCAAAAATCTCACTATAGTCGGTGACAGTTCAACGACGAAGTGGTAGCTCCTTCCACATCTTTTCACTTTAGCGGAGCTAACACTGGAAATGGGGTCCCCTCCTCTCCGGCATTCGCTCTGCTAAAGTGGAAAAAGGAGGGAGGAGCTTCCACTGCCTTCTTAACCTGGCACCGATTATAGTAGTTATTTTGCAGAGCCATAAAATGCTTCATGCGAGTACGACGGATTCAGCCACAAATCGAAATTCGAAATCAAGTTGTGTCTCGCGCCGTTCATACAACTCAATTTTTTGGCAACCCCCAAAAAATTATGCCGAAATCGCTGCTGTAGCTACGGTGATTCTCGACGAACCGCGTTAGCATTTAGCGCAGGGTTTTGTGGTCTTCGAAAGGCCAGTCTGTTCTCTCGGGTGTTGGCGATTTCGGGTGCAGCCATTAAAGCTTTTCGAAGGGCGCGCCAATAGTGGCGCGTCACTGGAAGTGTGCGAGAAGACTCTTTTCCTTACGTAAGAGAACAAGAGGACGTAACGAGCAAACGAACGGAGCGAAAGAGCATGGCAAGAACCACCGTGTGGCCTCATGAAATCAGTCCACGGACCAGTCCAGTCCAAACCGAACCAATATCAGCTGCATGCACCAAGGCGATAAATGATAACGTATTTAATAATGCTTTCTTTTTTCGGGAGTGTAGTTTCTCATCTCTCTGCTACTACATATTCAACTACTGAACGTCCCTGATGGGTATGTCTTACTTCGTTCGTCGCAGGCTTCGACGGCTCCGAGGAAGTTCTCCACCCGGCTGCCGCTGAAGAAGTAGCAGTAGGGGTTACCGACGTCCACCCATCCCTTGGCACTCTCGCGACAGACGCCCTCGTGATGCTCCACTGCGGGCGGCTTTTCTGGAATGATTTGTACGCACAAAGAGACATGTAGACTCAATCCCCGAAATAAGTTATACGTTTCAGACTCAACGACACTTGAGCTATCTTTTGGCATAAAATTATTAGAGTTGTGCGAACAGTGGATAGAAGTAAATAGTGCACTAACCTACTTAGGCTTTAACTTAAGCGAGGCAGTTCCCATATATCGCTTTTCTCAAGCCCATGAATGACTATGAATGATGCAATGCTTATCAGGCTCAGTTCGAACCACTCTTGGCATACCCCTAAAAATCATTGTTGCCAGGTCTATGCAGCTTTATCTCAAATCGCGGGAAACGCTTTTCCGTTCTCCAGGACTGTTAAAGCAGTTCGCGACCGAGGAAAGGTCTCCCCTATGCCGTGCAGGGTGGAAAACACAGTGGCAACACAGAACATGATGGGTTAGTGTGAAGGTGGTGTGAAGTGCCGGCAAAAGTAGACGGCCCAGCATTAGCGCGTGCACCGCCGCAAGCGGCACTTGAAAAGCAATATAATGCCGTCACGAGATTGTAGCTTTTCTTGCAGAGTGTCGTCCGCTCTGTTGAGGACCCGGAAGCACACTCCGAAGACACCGTGCGCACGGCTGGCCTCGCAGCCCTCTGCAGTGTACAATAAACGCGTGAGAGCTTCGTTTTTATTTTTTTTTTTTTATTCGGGATTGCAGTTTCCTGCGGTGGCGCTGTCAATGCGAGCTTCCCAGAGCCCACTGCAGTGGCAGTAGACAAGGCGTGCGGAAAACAGAACAATAGACCTTTTGGTAAATTGCCCAAGCATCAAGGACAATGCTGGGAATGTAAGTGCACGCGCCGCACGCGTTCGCCTTGCCAAGGGGGCTAACGTGCGTCTCTCAGCTCGGAGCGTGGAGCGAAGGCTTGCGGAGCAGAACCTCCTGTGTTCGATCCCCACCCCCTTCCTGTTTCGATCTGGACGAGTTTCGTATACCGGCACGCGTTCCTGTAATCACTACTGCGTGGTGCACGTTCAAGGCAGTTGTACTCCACTGGCTAAATTCCCCATCTACAGCTGAGAGACAAGTCACTTGCTGATGCGTAACAACTCCAAGGCTGCCTAGGCATGCAAGCACGGCCATTACCATACCAAAATAAGGCGTTGACGAACGCGCGTACAAGATGCGATTTGTTTCAGGCTTTTGCTTAAGAACAGTTACTGCTGCAGACACCAGCAAGTTCAGTGCGTGAACATTCACTCGCAGCATGCTCTTTGGTACTTGGGTAATTAAGGAAAAGTTCCATTAGGGTGTGCCAACACCGTAGTGAGCATCGATTACAGAGTTCGCAACTGTTTGATCGGGGTCATATGAAATATACGCCAAATTCGCAATACGAGCCGCGAGGAGGTGGCAAAACTGTTGATCGTGTGCAAGCGTCTCCGCCTTTCCGCCTGCCTTCTTACTCGCCATGCGATTACGCAGCGCGTGCGAATTTGCAACCAATCTAATTCATCAAAGGTGGACGTGCCATTAATGGTTCCAGCGATGTGCGAAAACGGGACTAGCGGCCGAAAGTTTGCTCCTTGACGCTCCAAACTTCGATAAACTCGAATAAACTTTTTTTTTTTGTATTTGTGGAAATACTGATAAATCATTTCTCGGCATTTTAAAGTATTAAAAGTGTTCGATTTCTTGACTGGTTATCTGAACAAATTTAATGTCCGGTTTAACGTTGTTTTTTTTTTTTTCTTTTTAAGTTCGGTGCTTCACGATGTACGAAGCTTTTCGTACATTGGAGTGAAGTGGACAACAATGATAACTAGGCTGCCTCAATGCCCTTCTTTTTAGGGTGATGCCACCCTTTGTAGTAGTCGATGCCGATAGCAGGCGCTCATGGGTCAAATACAAAGAAATCGACGAAAACAAAATGTCACCATAGCACAGTTAGCGCCACTAACTGGTGCACGGACACGCTCTTTCGCGAGCCTCTGAACAAAAAAATAAAAATAAAAGTGTGGGACGAAATGGCCAGATGTCTCCACCCTAAGCCAAGCGTACATGAAGGCACCCTTGGAGTGAAGTGGACAACAGTGATAACTTCCCGCGAATCAAATCGTGCCGCTTTGCACACAACGTAAGAGAGGTAAGTACCTAATTAAAATTCTGCTTCTTTTTTATTTATTTTTTTTTTTTTTTTTTTGGGGGGGGGGCGTTGGAAATTCGTTCAAACAACTATATCCAGAAGAAATGTTCTTTTGTGACAAGTGTTCTTTCAAATACCGCGGAACTTCCACCGCACTTAGAGCGCTTGCCTGGAAGCACTAACAAAGAGCATTCGCAATAGCCATCAGTGCGAACCATCAGTTAAGTAAGTTATCTTCAATCCAGCAAAACAATGATAGTATGAAGTGAACGATGTGCGATCTCGCAGTCATAAGCTGAACCGCAACATACACGGCTATAGATATATACCAGTAGACTGTACCGGCCCCTAGCTGACCCCTAGCACCGGTAAAAGAAATCGCATTGCGTGTATGTTTATAAAGAGGGTAGTTAGTCAGTCAGGCCCCAGTGGGTGTCCATGGTGTCTCGACTGCAGATGAGAAATGTCGCCAGTGCAGAACAACCGCTAGCCTGATGTCTTTAACATGAACCGCGCAGCAGCGATACACGACCGCACGCCAGTAAGATGCGCATCCACTTCAAAACAGGCACGGGTCGGAAATGAAACCACGCTGTAAAGCGTGAAACACATGCAAGCAAAAATCGCGTCGCATCGCACCGCCGCGCGGTGTAACTGTACAACCACCAATGACAGCAACGGTTGTCATGTTTACGCCGTTCAGTAAAGCCCCTCTATCCTGGGAAACTTGCCGCCATTCATTGTTGTGGAAATGCTCAAGACACGTGCCGCGCTTCACTTCTGAAAGGAAAATGGCGTCTGAGGATCTAGATCAGTGTTGCGCTCTACCGCCATGATCTTCCCAAGGGCTGCACGTTGCTCGTGTTTCTTGCATCGACGTATTGTGCGCTACTTTTAAAACATGAAGGGGGTTTACCGCTCAGCGGTGCGAAGCGACGCGATTTTTGCTCACATGTGTTTCACGCTGAAGATACTCTTACGCCGTGGGTTGAACCCCGTATCCTAAAGCTCCTCTATCTTGGGAAAAGTGGCGCCATTCATTGTTGTAGAAATGCACGAGACACGTGCCGCGCGCCACTTCTGGGAAATTTATGGCGTCTGAAATCAGTGCTACCAGTGCTGCGCTGTGCCGCCATGATCTTCCCAAAGGCTGCACGTTGCACGTGCCTCGTGCATCGACGCACCTTGCGCTACATATAGTTATTACAGAAAAACGCTAGAGGCTCAGCTGGCACTAATGCCTATGGGACTTCCGGTTGCAAATTGAAGCAGACAGCATGCAGTCTACTTTTCCAGTCCTCCTGTGTATCCCTATGTAAAAACGCCCGTGAATTTTGTCTCGTCGCCGGAAAATAACATAAATAACTTTTGTTATTTCGGTTGTACCGGGTAGTATATACCTTTATTAATATTGTGAAAGTGTAATTGCTTTAGTTACAGCATTTTTTCTTTACCACTGAACGATGCTAAACTTCGCTATATTTCAGGTCCAAACCCCTGTTTCATGGCAGGTATGTAGAAACGAGCGACGATTCTAAGCAAAATAACGATCGAAGGAATGTAGAGTGTGTTCAAAGTTCGCCAGCATTCCGTTGGTGCTTATATATTACTAATATGCCTGTCCTCTCACTATATGAAAAGGACTCCGTCGTGCATCTTTACGAGTGGTTAAAAAAACGTTCGAAACGTAAAGAATAAAGTACGTGGGCTACGAAATGTGTGTTTTCTTATTATTTCCTATGTTGGGCAGTTTTTATCGCGCACCTGTCCTCTGGCTTCCCCCTATTTACAAAGATTTGGAGCGTACGGGTGATGATTTGAACACGGAACAAGCATCTCCGCCTATATTCATGAGCAGAAAGATTAAAGCAGTACTTATTTATTGCAAATCGGACTATATTACGTGACTTTCAACTTATTTTGATCGTCTGCAAGCACAAGGAGTTGCTTGCCCAGTGTTACTGCGTAGTTTCTCTTGGTTTTCCACATGTCGTCCGTTCGTTTGGCACGTATATCCCCCATGCTGGAAAGCGCCGACGCCGTGTTCCCACTAACAGTGTCCGACAGTGCACATAAATACACGTACGAAGCGGTTTTAACACCGTTTTTAATACCGCGAATTTCAAATAAAAATGATGTAACTCACCAATTATTTCGTCTCCGTGACTGAGAAATGTTCAATGTGCCTAATACGTACAAATTATTCGTGATATTTGCTCTTATAATCGAGCGCAGAGAGAAAATGCACTCGCTTTTTCCCATAGAAATGCATTACCGGAAGTCAATTTCTGACTGCTTGCTGTCTGCTTCAAAATGCAACAGCACACTAGCGCCAGCTGAGCCTCTAGCGTTTATTCTAATAACTATGTTTTCAGAATACCTGGGTTCCGCAGCGCTAGCATTCGCTCCACGTGCTCCGAGCGGTAATGCGCTGACGCACTTGGTCACTGATCCCCCTCTCACTGGTACTCCGGTGCATGGAATAAGCATAATACTCCCCTCGTCCAAGCAAGCATTTGTTCGCAATGTTGACGTAGGCACAGGCATTTGCCGGCTCCGAGGTGAAGCTCACCGGAGGTGATTTTGCATAGGTATGGCAGGGACGTCTTGCAGGGCTGGACACTCCACTGGCCGGTGGCCATGTCTTGGGCGACGCAGCGTCGCTCGCCTCGCTCGGCAGCTCCGGGCTGCAGTGGCGCCCAGTTGGTGTGGTGCACGGGCCAACCGTCGGACCAGGTGAACCGGCCACTTCCCTGCCAGTGAAAGCACGTGTGATCAAGTGAAGTGATCGTGCCTACGACACACGTCGCTAAGGACCTTGTCGCAATGAACACGCAAAAAAATGGAAAAAAAAACGTACTCTTTTGTTTGTAACAAATGCAATTGAACAATATACGAACGATATGTTTCTCACGTGTTCACGTAAACCTAAAGGAATAGAAACGACCCCCCATTCTACCCCTCCGAACCCGAGACCATATATTGTAGGGTGATAAAATTCATCCTTGTTATTAACTGGGCTAATGAAACAAAAAAAAAGACGGTGATTTGCGAGTGCGTTGCGGGACAATATACATTTATAAACATTGTGGCTTAGAGCGACTATAGATGGCTCGCATATATGAATCAATCAATCAATCAATCAATCATTTTCTTTTTCATTCGCCAGGAAAGATGGTAGCTGGGGCGAAAAGCTGCAACACCTGCAGCTTTTTGGGATACCGTCGCATCATGCTGGTGGTGATTAATTTTTACTTGTTCTTGCCGAGAAAAACTAATTTGATCTTGCGAAATGTGTAGGCTCGAGAAGATACGCGCTCAGCAGCAAGGCCACCACAACGGTCGCGGATGTGACACCAATGCAAGCCATGTATAGAAAGAACAACTTGAGAAATGCCGGAAGTAGCTCTTTATATTCACACCTCGCCCCTCCTCGCGTTTTTTTAGGTTGTCAGTGACTATCGACAAACATGCATACTGAGAGCGAACCAATACACAACACGCAGAAAACTCGGGCCATCACACAAAGAAAAGAAGAAAAAAACATTTTTTTATCCGGAAGTTGGAAGCAGCGCTGTTGCAATGAGCTCGCCGCGAAAGTCCGAAACGTCCTTCTACGTGTTACAACGAAGATACTATCCGTTAGCAAAAACCTCTTTGTTTTATGCCTTGTCATTCGTTAAACTCCCCTGTCTCTGTGACCGAGGCAACTTGCATAAATTTGTAAAGTGTAATTTTTTTTTTTTTTTGCTTTGTTACTTTTATATACAGTTCAAGCGTTTTGCAGCGTTATACCACTCGCGCTTGTGCGCTCAGTAGCACTGCGGAAATCGTCTGATGCCTGAAGTTTTGGCCGCACACGAGACAAACCAAGTAATCTGTGCGCACAGCCATCAAACCGCAACTATATGTCGTTTTTAAAGAGGGTGCCCGATATATTTCCTGACCCATACGACCGCTTACGACCATTTACGTAGGGAGTCACGGGGACTGAGATTCGTGCTTCAAATGAAGCGTGGCGACCGGATCAAGGAGCAGCATTGCACATGACGCACGAAACACGAAGTGTACCGGTGACTCCACTCGTAACGTAAGAAATCGTAAGCAAACGCCTCTGTGTGAACCTAAGGTCAGTTTATGTGAACCTACCTTAAATAACTTTAAAACTATTTTTTTTTTTTTTGCGGGGGGGGGGGGGGGGGGGAGCATTAGACGGTAACATTATAACGAAGAACCACAATAGGGACTTTTAGCAAACCATTACCGTGTTCCGCGCACCGCACTACCGGAGCCTTTGAAGCATGCCTTTAAGCGCGCGCCCCGCGGTCACGCTATCAGTTCGGGCGCGCGCTAAAAAAAAAATGCTTCAAAGGCCAAAAAGTGTGTTACGCGGAACACGAAAACGATTTCATAAAAATCTCTAACATCTGACAAAGTACGGAACCGCCAGTGGCGCTGCTAAGTACCTTGGCGTCTTGCAAACCAATCCAGACCAGGCCTCCCCTGAACTCGAACCTGACGCTGAAGAAGGACTCCTGGTAGATGTCTCGTACAGAGGCCAAGTGCCCGCCGCTGGACGCACAGTGTGCTTCTGCGGTGTCCCAGTCCTCGTAGGAGCCCATGTGAAAGCACGAAGTGCCGTACGGGAAGGAGCCCGGGTGGGCAAGCCTGCACGAGGGGTCTTCAACAGGCTTGGGAATGGGTACTGTTGGGTCTGTGGAGAGAAGAGAAAAAAAAAAAAACGATTCCTTATTGGCGCTAAAAATTATCGTGCTGGCAGCAAGTCGGCTTCACTCCTTGTCTCCTAAAATAAGAACGCGCCAGAATCAAGAAATAGGCTAAGCTTCGGTGTAGTAACACTTCAGCCATTTGCATTTTACGGCTTTTCCCTTCCCATCAATTGATCACATTTTTACTGGATCTAGCCAGCCGTCTCCCCTACGACTAAGCGCCATCTTGGAGTTTAAAATGATGGTTGCAGCTATGAGAATCTTTATTTGACATTGCAGGAAACAGTTCTCTGACCTCAAGAACAATAGGCTACTTCCAAAATTCTCTGAACGCAACACTGCGCGCATTGCATTTCGGAACCAATTCGACCATGGAGAGGAGTGGCATGGTTTTGGTTGCCATTGTTCCGTCGACGAAGTAATGCGTATCAGCACTGCGTGTAAATGAAGTCAGCGCTCGCTTGCATCGCACCCATTCATCTTCAGAAAAGCCCCCGATGAAAGTCACTTGAAACACAGATCTTCAGCTGCCGTAGGGACATGCCTAGACTTGGCGAGGAGCAGGCGCACGGCTTGTCGCGTCGTCTACCTCTTCGGCGGCCTGGCTGCCACTGTAGGGTGAAGCATGATTCTCCCGCTTCACGTACGTATCGTTGAAGAAGTGTAGTACGATGAGGAGACGATAGACGAGAACGTGTTCCCGAATTTTATTTGTATTGGTAGGCGAAACCTTAGCAATATAAAATTAAGGAAAGTAACATATTCGGATGTTTGCATGGAACTTAAAATGCTATCGCATTTAAAACTCCCTGTTGTGGGGATTCCTCTGGTCTCCCTTCCCCGATGGCTGCGAGAACGGCCGCGGGTCGGAACGCTCGGCCGCCTTCGCCGTGAGCTCCGACCTATTCGTGAGGCGGTGGGCCGCCTGGCTTGGGGGCCCTCCTCTCACTCTTTCCCGGGGGGACCTCTTTCCGTCCCTCCCGCTCGGATGCGAATCACTGCCGACAGGCGAGGAGGTTTGGCCTCTTGTTTTCCCGCTTTCGGGAAAGGGACTCGTCCGGGTGACCGCGAAAGTGATAGGACGTGTGTCGGCGACATCTCCGATGCTTCCCCGGTCTCGGCTCTCCGGAACCCCGCGTCTGGCCAGGTAAGAACCTTTTCTTACTTTGCCGGCGCGGGGGGCATTTTGAATGGGGACATTGCAGTTCGTTTTAAGAGTGCTCTAATAAATGCTCTTGGACTCTGTCCTTACTCTGGTACGTGTGTCTTCTCTTCCGCTATATTCGAGAGAGTGAGACAAGGTAGACGATCATTGGCACCGACGGAGGTAATCTATCGAACCGACCCGCGGTAATGTAGCCCTAAATGTTCGTCTATATTGCCGCGGAGATGTGGGGACTGCGGGCTACTAGGTTTGTCGTCTCCTTTGAGATATCGCCGCTGTTGAGACAACCCTTTAGTTCCTCTATCGGTACCTGTGTTAGTTGGTAGCTAGCAAATCCCACACTGTAGAAGTCCTCATGGGACGTCATAACCACAAGAGTGCAGCTTTTCCACCGACTGCGAGGTATCTAAAGATCCCAAAGTGGATTGGGATGGTGTGTTTATTACATGGCCACTGCGCGGTGCAATTAGGGCGAATACGACATAGGCGCTGTTTCTCATAGTACTCAGACACGTCCCTAACAAGTATACTGTTTTACAACTTAAATCATTGACCCCAATAAGTTCTTATCATTATTTAAGAAGTTTTGATAACATTTTCTGAGTCCGGAGTATGCAGAGGACGCACAAGAATTCGCCGTCTCTTACCGTATTTCAACATGCCCAAAACTAAACTAAATATATAAAAAGAGGCTATCATTTCGTCTTAATGGCTAAATGTGTAGCGATATGTATGTACCCTAATATCACCGAGTAGTTATTCCTGTAATAAAGCACCGACTCATCTCACTATTCACCGAAACTGCACATTTGTCAAAGAATGTATGGACCACGAGAACCATGCACTGAAAGGAACTTCAAGGTTTCCCAAGCTTGACACACTGCCCATAAGCTTGCTGAAGCGTGCTCGCATTCCGCACGAAGAAAGTGGCAAAATGGTGCGGACTTCCCTTCTTAACAACCCCATGATCCATCAAGAGAGCGTAAGATTCATCAATAGACCGGTTAGCCAATATATCGAGCGTGCCCTACAAATGCAAACGTCAAATAGTGTGACGTATTATCAATCACTTCCTATTGTATCGCACTTCGATAAATCACTCTCTATTGTATCCCATTGTATCGCACTAAATGGCAATTCTAGAGCATCTGAATTAAATGGATTTGTCGTTGTTGCAATGAATGTCAGATATATATATATATATATATATGACATTAATTGCAACAGCGACTGGGAAAAAAAAACCTTTGGTGAAAACAGCAACAACGGACGATTTAATCTTCGGTGTTTCGGCGGGAGTCCGGCCGAAGTCAGGAAGTCTTCCTGACGAAGGCCGGACTCCGGCCGAAACGTCGTAAAATGGGAAAAGAGTACGATTCTGTAGGTAGGGATTAGGCTTGTTATGCATTTCGGTTGCGTAGAGTACAGGCTGTTTCCTTATTGCGGTTTGTGTTTAATGCACTTTTTGCGCCGTTCCTGTTACATCATGACGCTACATATTATGCAGTTCACATGCATGCATCGCGACAACACTGTTTCTGTTGCCACCTTTAACCGTGAAGATAACTTTCTCGTTCTTTGTATGGACGCTGTGTCGTCTTCACTCATCAAGGTAGCTGTGACGTTGAGCCACGGGTGTGTACACAAGATATGTTTGCTCGGAGGAATTTTTTTCAGTAAACCTTTTAGTTGCAAGTTATCACTCGTCCTGTGTTCCGCTCCTGTGTCCCGTATTTTTTTTTTTTTTTCGCTGCTCTTTTACGATGTCTGTTAACGATCTGCTTGCCCGTATATTCACTATTTTAAGCTTAAAAAGAAATTTTTTCGCTTTTATAAAATGCAACTTTTTTCAAACTTTGCAAGTCTGTAGTTACAATTATACAGCCGTAGTGTGTACATTTCTGGATACAAGACCTTCTGATTTTCGATTTTAAAAGTGAGCATTTTGCATAATATTAAATACTGCGACAAGATAAAACTCAAAAATTAGTTCGTCGCTTTTAAAAAAAATATATATATATATATTTTTTTTTTTTTTTTTACTTTGCTCGATCGTTTGATATGTGGACTCTAGACTATCCATAACCGTTGAGTGCATATTTTTAGACCAACTACCTTTATGAGTTTTAGTTTTTCAACTCTGACAATTTTGCTATATGTTCGATATTGTCCATATATTTCAGGAAACATAATCACAAAATATTTGTGGAAATGATTCAATTATTATATTATTTCTCTTACTACTAACACACATAAGTTTTATATCTTTATATGGTAGCATGGTCTTGAAAATTAAAGGTGAATACCGTTTTTTGACATTTTTAACGCAACTTCACCCTCAAAAGCATTTGAAAATACTTTATAAGACCTATTGCAAAGCTTAAAAGTATATATTTAATTAGATTACCAATGACGCACACAAATAGTTTAGACCGAATGCGTGAGGGTCGAATTTAGGCCTAGATCGTTTAGCGTGGAAAAACCCCATAAAACCCTCCAGAATTACGCTCCCTTACGGTCGTTCTAAAAATATTGCTAAATGGCGTGTGCAACAGACACCAAGAAGCTGGCAAGTCTATACCTGATATAATACTAACTTCCCAAAGACTGTATAAGTACAATGAATGGGCTTGTCATTGTTCTCGTGTGCTTTGCGCACGCCCCTTTGCAGTATTTTCAAATCAACCGTAAAAAAACGTATTTTTTTTAAAGGTGCCTATAGTCACATGAAGTTAAGATTGCGCCAGAATCCCCTTCCGGACCCTCATTACCACCAGCCACTGCTCCTCCGCGATTCGCCAATACTACGCTAACGAGGCGCACGTCGTGCTGATGTCACTTAACTCGACATGGCAACTGCCTTTGTTGGTTGATGCGCGAAGCAATTCGATGCCGTTACTGGTGTGTGGTGGTGTTTATTCGACGCATTCTTAAATAGCGTTTCACTGAAGCCACTGTAACGCTTTCTTGCGCCCCAAGACCTGTTCACACATATTGCGCAGCGCCGATGCGACGCTGATGCTGTGCCGAAAAACGGTGCCCATGGTTGTCTGACTATCAGCGATGCATCTATGCTGCATCGCCGCTCGCCACTGTGCAATTACGTCCAAGTCCCGTGAATGTCAGAGCTGCATTCGCGCCGTTTTCCAGGACCGATTCGGCGCTGCGCTGTGTGTGTGAAAAGGCCTCCGTCCTTACAATACTGGAAATTGCAGCGGGATATTAGCGTGGTGCCATAAATTGCAAGTGCTCTCTCTCTCGAGGACCCAGTCCAACCAGGCTTTGAGCATCATGGTTTTCGTCTGACGTTTCAACTAAGATTCCGCGTTTTATGGGACTAGTTTTCTTGAAATTCGGTGGTTGATTTTTTCATTCTTTATTTCCCCCGTAGATTTGGTGTCCAATAAAATATCGGTGCTTGTCGGTGCAGAAAACGGGACTGGGATTTTCCAAACTCGATAGGGAAGTCTAAACGGTGGTTTAAAAAGCGCAAATTTTTATTCTTATTTGTATTTCTATTTACATCAGTGTGGTCTATAGGGAAGAAACGCGTTAGCCGAATACTTAGAAAACGACGCTGTGTACCGATAACAAAATTAAACAAGATGTGTTCTTTCGAAGCAAGAAGAAGCGTCGCAAAATGTTCACTGGGGGTTGTGTTCCCAATCAACATAAAATAAAGCGCTAGAAAGAGAGAGAGAATAAACCTTACTCAAAGCGCTAGTCAAAAGATTTCTTCCCGCGAAGCTTGGAATATTTTTGTTCTTTATTATTGTGAAAACCCTATGGAAATCTTATATCTGGGCTTATCTGGCCATA